TTCCAATCTAATGTATATCTGGGTACATGTGTGAATTGGGAGATACAATGATTCCTAATCAGTGTTCGAAGGATTTGACTTAGTTACTTGTGGTACAAGTAAACTTGCTAGGAGCTACAAGACATAAGCTCTTGGTTTAGGAGGATTCTTCCTCTTTTTTGTTCTACTCGGATTTCATGATCTTGGAGGTATATCTGTATATTTGTGTTTTGTGATAGTCGGATATATAGTGTAGTTGCATTCATATAGATGATAACATGATTTGATGTGAAATGAGTTATGATATATTGGTTCTTGTACAATGAACATATTCAGATAGGCTAAGAGTTCACCTGGACTGGTTGGCTTTGGCTGCTATTGGGATTTAATTCTTGGAGTTATCTGTACATACGAGTAGTCTGGTATTATTTTGTGCTTGTATGATGTATGTTATACTATGTATCTGGCCTTTTATACAGGAAGTGAACTCACGGGTGAAGACTTCTCCATAAACCCTGAGTTTACGATTTTCTCACTTCGTGTTGTTGGGATATATTTCAGGTATTCCAGCAGTTTTTGATCAGTCATCTCAGGGCAAGAGGCCTGTGTAGAGTGGCTAGTTTTGGAGTTGGATTTTGTATTTTGAATCTTGTGTGTATGTGTATATGCTTTTTGAGGCATGTGTAGTATCCATGCAAGTTAATAGTTGTTATCTTTTGAGAGGCATGTTTAGCCTTTGTTTTGATTATATGTAATGAAGTTATGAATTTCAGTATGTATTTATGTATTGACTTTATGCCATAGTTCAGTATATGAGGTAATTTATGAGTCAGATTCTGTGTGAATTCATGGATGAATTTTAAGTATGATAACATTTATTTATGTTGTGTGTGAATTTTCTATATTACATGAATTTGGATTTATCCGATTTACAGCCATTATGTTGTCCGTAATTTTCTGTTCAGAATGGTCTCTATGATCATATTTGGATGGAATATATTTGTCAAGTACATATATGAATAGAATAGACATATGTAGATCGTTCAAGAAATCGTTCAAAAAATTTGTACAGGTATGAGACTATACAGATTACAATAATTGGAATTAAGTTGGGTACGCGGCAATGAATGGAATAATAGTTAATGCGTTAATTCATTAATATAACGTAATCAGAGTAATATTTGGATAAAAGAAAAAAGTTTATCCTCTTTTTTACAAATGTATAAAAGTAATACGCATGTTAAGCCTTTCGCTTAATTCATAATTTGTAGAGCGCTAGTGTACCATATGTAGGGTAACTCATTGGCTATAGACGAGATGTTACACTCTCAAACTCCCAAATTTTCCATGAAACCCGAAATCTTTAGGGAAGGACATCTATATCTACATAACACCCCACACAAAAATGGTGGTAGAAATGGATTCCTCTCGCGATTTCCTTCAAGTTAGGCTTTGAAATCACTTTATTTGGTGCCCTAGAACTCAAGTTATGATATTTGGAAATTTCTCTCTTCTCCACCTGTACAAGCTCGGGTTTGGGAAGAAGAAAAGTGAATAGTGGCAGATGATTTTGCCTTTTTTAAGACTTGTGACTTATTTTAAGTAACTTACACTTTAGTTATCTTGGATCAATGGGTCACCTTTGGTAATTTACTTATTTACTTCACTTTATAACTTCAAACTGGCCATGACTTGATATTTTCCTCAAATGTGTGTGTTTATTTATAATCCATGAATTTACTCATCTATCATGGATTTAACATTTACTATGTTTATGAGATATTTTCCCATTATCTCATTTAAAAATTTTCAGTAACTTTAAAATTACTATATTAACTGGAAATTACTAAAATTTCATTTTATCTTGAAAGTAATTTAATCTCGTTAATTAGATTTCTTATCTAATTAATCTTTCTTAATTTTGGCAAAAATCCTTATTTTTTATTTTACTGGTGCAGGTTATTATAACAACCGTTAGATCAAAATTATGAGTGGAAGAAGGATTCCCATCCTTAGGATGAGGAATCCAGAAAAGTTAAGAAACATGAGCTAAATGAAGACCTATAAGTAGAGGGACACTTGAAAGAGAACACCCATGCTCACATTTTGGGCTGTCGTCGTGCTTCTTTTTTTTTGGAAATTACAGAGATGAGCAGCCCCTAACTAACTATTCTGGGTGTCTCAGTACCCAATCTATCCTTAATTACCAGAGTCATACATCCATGCGGGGGTGAGGGACTTAGAGTAATATCCTTCTTCACCATCAAAGCTTGATGAGCTAGCCAATCAGCCACCAAATTACCTTCTCGCAGAGTGTGCTTTAGTTTCCAGTTCCAATTCCTGTCTAGGAGATCTTTCACTTTGCCTCCAATATAAGCCAACGGGTGATCATTCAAGACTTCTTGTTCTATGAATTCCAGCACCTAAGTTGAATCACCTTCCAAGATAATGTTTGTAAATTCTCTATCCCAAGCAAGATTCAAACCTGTTAGACAGCTCCAAAGCTCAGCTTTAAAGGAGTTGCCTTGACCAAGGTTTTTTGAAAAACCCAAAACCCAGTCACCTTTACAGTCTCTTATTACACCTCCACAACCATAGTTTAAGCCACCTTTAGAGCTGGCCCCATCCACATTGATCTTCAACCAGCCAGAGGGAGGAGGATTCCATTTAACCATCTGCACTGTTCTTGGCTGCTGAATAAGACCTCATGTTGTTAGGGAGTTTTTTGCTGTTATGAAATTCTCATAATGGCACATAGTGCTACGAATGTTAGACTGGATGTTTGGCTGCACCCCATTGAAAACAAAATGATTCCTCTCTTTCCATAAGTTCCAACAGCAGATACCAAAGAGGAGAGACCAATCTCTGGTTCTTGGGCCATGGCTAACATTTTTTATATTGTCTTCTATCCACTCTCTCAAAGGTTTAGAACAGAAATGATGCCACTTACTAGGATCAACCAGAGCTCTCCACACTTTTTGAGACCAAATGCAATCTCTAATGGCGTGAAGAGAGCTCTCAGGGTGATCCAAGCATCGAGGACATAAGTTAGAATTCGCAAAGTGTCTATTAAACCTTCTTTGGTTTGTCATCAAGTCGTCCCCCATCAATAACCAAAGGAAAGTTTGGATTCTGCTAGGGCCATTCCATTTCCAGATAATCTTCCAATTGAAGCTAGGTTGGGTAATATGGAGACTCCTTAATAAGTTGTAAGCTGATTTAACAGTAAAGCAACCATCATTTGAGTTACCCCAACATACTCGATCATCTCCCAAATCCTGATTTGCTGGCATCATGCTCTCTATTAGTCTTCCTGCTTCAGGACTGATAACATTTCCCATTTTTTTCCAATCCCAAGTACCATCTAATTTCACGTATTCAGAGACTTTTACCTGCAAGAGATTCTCTGGTAAATCTTCCAAAATTATATCTTTCATGCTTTCGATATTTGGGATCCAAGTGTCATGCCAGAACCTAGTTTTCTCCCCATTTCCTATCATGATGTTGGAGTTTGCCATTACCTCAGGCCAGACCTTCACCATTCCTCTCCACAGGTTGGATCCATTCAAAATAGTTTTAGTCGCAGGAATAAGCTCATCACCAAGTTTATACTTATTTTTCAGAACCTGGACCCAAAGAGCATCCTTTTTTGTAAGGATTCCAAAGTTGATCTTCATAAGAAAGGCTCTGTTGACATCCCTTAGAGATTTAATTCCTAGACCACCAGCCTCTTTTGGGGTACACACTCTATTCCAAGCCACATGGTGAGGACTCCTCTCATTGCTCCCTGAATTCCACAAGAAGCTACGAGACGTTTTCTCAATCTCATCACAAAATCCCACTGGCAGGAGATTGGTTTGCATGGCATACATAGGTAAGGCTGAAAGAACCGATTGAGCAAGAACATTTCTCCCAGCTAGAGATAGAGTTCTTCTCTTCCAGGAACCCAACTTTCGGTTAACTCTTTCCATGATGTGACTGAAACTGCCTTTAGTGACCCTTTTTTGGTGTAGATTAATCCCTAGGTACTTTCCTATATCGCTAGTTAAACCAAAACCTAACTCATTACTCACCTCCATAGCATTGTTATGGTTGACATTTCTTGACATAAGCACTCTAGTCTTCTCCACACTAATACTTTGTCCAGAGCTGTTGCAAAAACACTTTAGAATCTGCTTTATAATCTTAGCTTGTTTCACAGAAGCTTCTCCAAACAAGAGTAGGTCATCAGCAAAAAAGAGGTGAGAAATAGGTGGGCCATTCTTTCTCAAGATTACTGGTCTCCATTCTTTTTTCTCCACAGCCAGGCTAATTAAATAAGCTAACCTCTCAATGCAAAGAACAAAGATATACGGGGAAAGGGGGTCCCCTTGCCTCACTCATCTGGATGGTTTAAACTCTCTAGTAGTAGCACCATTCGACAAAACATTCATAGAGAAAGTTGTAACACAACTCATGATAATGCTTATTAGAGAATCAGGTAGCCCAATATCTTTAAGGGTTTCTTGGATAAAATCCCAACCAAGTTTGTCATAGGCATTTTCTAGATCAACTTTGATGGCCATCCATCCTTTTTTACCCTTTTTGGATCTCATTGAGTGGATGATTTCCTGAGCTATTATAATATTATCCGAACTATGTCTTCCTCTCACGATGCTGCATTGGTTAGGCATAATCAGATGGTTCATATGATTCCTGAGCCTATTTGAGATCAACTTGTTGATGCTCTTGTAAATGACATTACAAAGACTAATAGGCCGAAGTTGTTTCACGAATTCAGGACAGTCTACCTTGGGGATCAGACATAAAAGTGTCTGATTAATAGCACTCACACTTCCTGGGTTGATAAAAGCTTCTTTCACAGCATCACAGACAGCCTTACTTACCTTATCCCATTGGGTTTGGAAGAAAATAGCATTTAGACCATCAGCCCCTGGGGCTTTAAATCCCCCAAACTGAAATATCAGATTTTTAATCTCTTCTCCTGATGGTCTTGCCATTTACAACTGAAGACTTTGATTTCAGAGAGTGGGGAAGGCACCTTTCACTAGGAAAGCAGGTTTGCAAGTGTTCTCTTCAGAGTAAAGTTTCTCGAAATAATGAGCAATCATGTTGACCAGAAGATCAGGTTCTCCTATCCAATTACCATTCTCATCCTTTAAAGAATCAATTATGTTCGCTCTACGTCTTGCAATTGTTGTGGAATGAAAGAATTTTGAGTTTCTATCCCCAAACTTTAACCACTTGCATCTCGATCTTTGGAACCAAAGGATTTCCTCATGCATGTAGATTTCATTAAGCTCTTTCCAAAGGTTAATCTGAATGGCTTCTAACTCAGAATCATGATACCTGCTCAGCCTCTCATCTATACCTTTAATTCTGGCATGTAACAAGAATTTCCTACGGTTAGCTTCCTTGTATGTTTCATTGTGCCATTTTGAAGTTTCAGCCTTGAAATTCTCGCTAGCTTCAATCCAGTTTGTTTCCTCTCCCCAACATTTATTAACAATACCAGGAAAAGAATCACAGGTTAACCAAGAAGCCATGAACCTGAAAGGTCTAGTGCTATTAGTGCCCCTAGGAGGTGTCCCATTGAGGAGGATAATTGGACGATGATCTGAGCTATAGAACAGAAGATGGGATAGAAATCTGTTAGGAAATCTCACGTTCCAATTCCCGTTGCTACATGCCCTGTCTAGTCTCTCAAATAGCTTTCCACTCTTCCAAGTAATGCTTGGACCTTTGAACCCAATGTCTGAAAGATCACAGTCTACTAGGCAATTCTGGAAATCTCTCATTGAAATCCAGTGAGGGTCAAGGCCCCCAGTCTTCTCCTCAGCCCTGAGATAAGAGTTGAAATCCCCCATAGTTATCCAAGCATCAAAATTACTAATGCTCAGATCTCTAAGGCTCTCCCAAAGGACTTTTCTCTCCGTGCATCTTGGGCTAGCTTAAATAAAGGTTATCAGCTCTTCCTTTTTGGATTCTTTCCACACCAAAGCCATGTGCAAAAACTGATGATGAGCAGATATAATTCTAACTCTCACATCCCCATTATTCCAAAGCAACCACATGCCTCTTGAAAATCCAACAGCCTCTTGGATGTGATGGTTATTGAAGCCCAGGTTGGAAATACACCGCTTTGCTTTGTCACCGCTTATCCTTGTTTCCATCAGGCACAAAACATTAATTTTGAACTTTTTGGTCATATCTTGAATAAGGGGAGTCAGGCCTTTCTTACCTGCACCCCTGACATTCCAACTGCACACTATCATTAAAACAGTTAAAATTAAACCCCAAAATACCTCCATAACCCTGACTAGTTAATTCTTGATCTCTGTAAAGACCTCCATACCTCCCAAGGTAAACAGGTTAGCATCCAGTTCCTTCCCTTCAGTTGTTTGGGAGTATCTCCTCATCAGTTCCAGAGCGTCTGGAGGTTTACCTTGCGGATTAATGTTCTCCTTAGCTTTATCGCTTGACATAGTGACCTAAATCCCCTCTTTTGAGCCAGAAGTACTACCTTTTGCATTTTCCATTGTCCTAGATTGCCTTGGTATTCTTGCTACGTTGAGAGGTTTCTTTGGCACAAGGTTGGATTTTTGGGTTGGTTTATTGATGGTTTTTTCAGGCCTGAGCTTAATAGGCCCAACTTTATTTGGTTTTGGGCTTCTAGACTTGAGAATTTTTCCTTTGTCCAAATTCTGGACCCTCAAGTTTGGTTTGATCTCCGGTTGAGTATATGCAACTGTGGAGGACCCCACCAAATTCCCTGCCACTACTGTATCTGACTCTGAATTCATAACCGTCATCGAACCTACCTCCTCTGCCTCTCTGTTTATTTCGAGCCGCGAGCTACCAGATTTGACTGCTTGAATCAAGGGTTGTTCACTGTTCACTTATACTTCTTCTGCCTCTCTGATAATTTTGAACCACGAGCCACCAGATTTGGCTGCCCGAATCAAGGGTTGGTCACTGTTCACTTTTGGTTTAGTTTTTTCAGCTCTGGCATTGTTCATCATATGCTTCGTATCAGTTCTTTCTCGTTTCTGCTGAGCTTCTTTTATTTTCCTTCCTCTTACCGGTCGTTGGAAAATCATCCATTCTCTGAATGGTTCAATGGTTATGGACTCCCCCTTGTTGATTTTGATTCCTCCAGGTCCCCTTTCCACGGTCATCTTGCGACCCTTCGCAGCCTCCTTGTCTTGCATCTCCAGACAGAGCTCCTTTCTGTGGCCATACCCTCCACACCCAAAACAGATAAGATGCAAACCCTCATATGCGACATGGAAGGTTCTACTTCCTATTTTGAACTTCGACAGAAACTTCTTGGATAAATCCACTTCCACGCAAATACGAGCAAATTTTGCTCTTTTAGTAACTTCTTCCACGTTGGACTCTGTCTTGCTTATGGAGTTTCTGTCTAATTTTAAGGTTCTTCCAAACATATTTCCAATATTCTACAGAAGGTGGGATGTGTAATATTCAATCGGAAGACCAGGTATTCTAATCCAAATAGTGAGTTTTCTCAGAGTTTCGTCATATAGATCAAACATAGGTCTCCACCTTTGAACTGTTACATAATGGTCAGCAATGATCCAAGGGCCATCCTCAAGCACATGAGTGTAATCCTTCTCATCCTTAAATTTGAACAGAAAGAAATTGTTTTCCAGATCTATAAACTCATAACTCCCTGAAATACTCCACATTTTCAGCAGCCTGCCTAAGAGGAATTTGACATTCAGTTTTTTCCCTAGCAACTTTACTATCAGTGCCTTCCTCCACTTTTTGCAAGCTTCATGGTGTATCTCTTTTGGGACTTTGAGAGACGGGCAGAAAGGATCCTCCTCTTCTATGTTGTCCCCCTCGTCCACAAAGTCTGCTTCTTCTTCTTCACGTCTCAGCTGAGCCATCTAGTGCTCTCCCTCCTCATTTTCCCCACTAGCTCCATTGAACTGGAGGAGTATATCTTTATAAGATATCACCTTTCTGGCCCCTTGGGTTTCCTCTTTGTCCGATAACGCCATTGTCTCTTCTACACCAACATCTTTATCTCCCTCCTCTACCATGACTTCCACGTTCGGTTCATCTCCCTTTGGTTTTTCTATACTCCTCTTCAGCAAATCATCATCTTCTTTTGATTGAAAGTTTTCAGCGTTGCCCCCTGAAATGTCGATTCCCCCTGAAACCCTAGCAGAGACCATCTTTGCTAACATTATACTCCCTCTTTTTTCGTGTCAAAACCCGTCATCGTGCTTATGGTATGCGTGCTCTCTAATTCCATTATGTTTTTAGGGAAAGGATATTGTAACAACCAAATTGTGTTACTACCATGTTACTACCAATCAATCTCACCGTTAGATTGATTATGTTGATCGAACAATTATATTTATTTCTATCTTTGTATAGTTATGATTTTCCAAATTTAATACTTTATATTTATTTCCACCTTTGTATGGTTATGATTTCTCATATTTAATGTTTTTACTTTAAATATGGGGAATCATAACCATACAAAGATGGAAATAAATATAACCGTTGGATCAACATATAATCGATCTAACGATGAGATTAATTGGTAGTAACATGGTAGTAACACAACTTGGTTGTTACAATATTCTTCCCCATGTTTTTAATGATATATACTAGTATTAACTATGAAAACATCGATAGTTTTTCAATGAAGTTTTTATTTAAACGCGAATAATAAATAAGCCATAAATATCAACGCCAATGCGTAACAAATAAAAGCTTTGCTATAATTAGATAACAAACCCTTAATAAGGAAGTTATTCTCCTAACAAATATTGGAGTTTTGTGCAATGTTTTTCATTAATTTGCTTTTAACAATTTGCCTCATATTCTTAGAGAAGCTATTTATTAGGACGGAATAATTTAATAGAAAAACATACAATAAATAGTTACGTGCCACATATGAGTTTTTAATTGATTTTTTTAATATTTCTTTTTATAGTTCACTCCAAAAAAATAAACAACTTCTTCTTGAAAAGGGTCGCAGGATACAGCACATCTCATACTGTAAATATAGTTAATTAGATAAAGTTATTCTAGACGTAATATCCGTTAATGTGACAATTTTCTTTTGTTGTGATCTCAATTTGTTTCACTTGTGCATTGATAACAAATCCAAATAATAAAAACTCCTAAATTAGGAAATTGAGCAAGTTGTGACAGAGAACTTTCAGTTTTAAAATCTTATCATCATCAATATAACAAAGTCTATATAATGTGGCATCATTGTCTGAGATCAAAATGTGCAGAGAAAGAAAAGTCCTAGAACAATAATAATAAAAAATGGCAGGTGGGGCTTTTGTTGCAACAAGTGGTGGAAGGGAATATGAAGGGAAGGTAACAGCATTCGTGTTGGTGACATGTTTTGTGGCAGCAATGGGAGGTCTTCTATTTGGTTATGACCTTGGTATTACAGGAGGAGTTACTTCAATGGAACCATTCTTGATAAAGTTCTTCCCAGCTGTTTACAAACAAATGAAAGATGAAACAAGTCATGATAGTCAGTACTGCAAATTTGACAATGAACTCCTTACATTGTTCACCTCTTCCCTATACCTTGCTGCATTGGTTGCCTCTTTCTTTGCTTCCACTACAACCAGAATGCTTGGTCGTAAGCCTTCTATGTTCTTAGGTGGCTTGTTTTTCCTTGTTGGTGCCTTGCTCAATGGTTTTGCTCAAAATATTGCTATGCTTATCGTTGGTCGTTTGTTGCTTGGTTTTGGTGTTGGATACTGCAATCAGGTATATATATATATATATAATCAAGTTTAAATGTTTCAATGAATGAACATTAAAAACAACAAAGTTCTTAATTAATTAATTGGCTTATTCTCTCCAACATGTATTTATAATATGTGTACACAGTCTGTTCCAGTGTATTTGTCCGAAATGGCTCCAGCAAAGATCAGAGGAGCACTCAACATGGGGTTCCAAATGATGATTACAATTGGTATCCTAATTGCAAACCTTATCAACTATTGGACTTCCAAGCATCAAAATGGATGGAGAATTTCCTTGGGAATCGGAGCTGTCCCTGCAGTTTTGTTGTGTTTGGGATCTGCTTTCTTGGGTGACACGCCAAACTCATTGATTGAAAGAGGTCAACATGAAAAAGCAAAGGCAATGTTGCAAAAGATTCGGGGTACCGACAACGTTGATGAGGAGTACCTAGATCTCATTGATGCTAGTGAGGAAGCTAAAAAGGTTGAACATCCATGGAAGAACATTGCACAACCAAAATATAGACCTCAACTCACATTTTGCACTTTGATTCCATTCTTCCAGCAACTCACTGGCATCAATGTTATCATGTTTTATGCACCTGTCCTTTTCAAGACTTTGGGATTCGGTAACGATGCTTCCCTCATGTCTGCTGTTATCACTGGTGGTGTCAATGTTGTTGCCACTTTTGTTTCCATCTTCAGTGTTGACAAGGCTGGAAGAAGGATCTTGTTCCTTCAAGGTGGCACCCAAATGTTTGTTTGCCAGGTGAATTAAAATCAAGTTTGTTTTAATTAGACCATATACTTACTTTCATGTTTTTTCATTATTCTTGTTTTGTGAGCTAGCATGACTAATATAATTAATTAACCATTGCTTGCTTGCTTGCTTGTATATATGATAGATTGCTGTTGGAGGGATGATTGCTGCAAAGTTTGGACTAGGCGGAGAAGGGTCATTGAGCAAAGGTGAAGCAAACTTGCTATTGTTTTTTATATGTGCGTATGTTGCAGCATATGCATGGTCTTGGGGTCCATTGGGATGGTTGGTGCCAAGTGAAATATGTTCTCTTGAAGCGAGATCTGCAGGGCAAGCTATCAATGTTGCTGTGAAC